CCATTCTTGTTCAACTTCGTCATCGATGAAATAATGAGGCGAACACTGGACGGTTTTCAAAACCCCGGTGTTCAAATTGTTGCTGGCGAGAGCCTTGTCGATCTGGAGTACACAGATCACATCGCCCTTATCTTTGAAGACCATAGCGGAGCTCAAGCCCTGTTGAATAAACTGACCACTATCATACCATCTTTTGGCATGCACCTTGCACCTTCGAAGTGCAAAGTCGTGCTTCAGAACGGTAGGTCGCGGGTTCGAGACTCTTCGGAGTTTCGTGAGATGCGCACTGCTGATGATTTCCAATAAGGATGAAACAGCTACACAGTGCTTCTCGGCTCTCACATGGACAGGGTATAACGCCACTCATCTTTACTTACGAAATCTACTTCATACAGTCACGTGTTGACGGCCTTTTGCTAATGAGCCGCTGGTGGCAGAGTAGTTTTGTTTTCAGCTACCAGCCGGAAGATTTCGGATTTGGAACTCCATTAGTATGCGTTTTACACATTATCGGTGTTGCCCTGTAGGATGTATTTGCTGCACAATGCTTTTAAGGTTTTCCATATAGATCCATTTCACCTCCGGGACAAAACCTCCATTGAAAAGTTCCAAATACTCCCTACAATTTCGAAAATTTTAAATCACTTGGAAAGAAAGTTAGGGGTTTGCGATTTACACGATCTGATTCTTAATTATTCAATGACAGAAGACAAATGACAGAAGACAACACATTTTCCATCGCGGTCCTTGTGTTTTGCTTTGAAATATCGCCTTCCAAGGTGTAGATGGACTCATGTGTTTACTTTTTTACCATTGCTTGCATCACCAGGTAGTTCGATTGTACATGATACTGTAGCTCATACGACAAGCCTGGATTTGTCTGTCGGATGTGCAACGAAACCGATGGGATAAACGAAGGTAACTAAGAGTTCAACCTAAGCCGAGTTGTCTAGGTAGCTTACTCACACGATTCTCAAAGAAGAAGAATAAAAGCACTGTCAATTCATGGTCAAAAAGTGTCCTAAGAGTCTCACCACTCATATGGACAAACTTCTGGAAGCTCCGTTTTGCATACTAACGCAGATAGGACCCTGTATTGTATCATTTTTTTTCTAAGGCTGTTCCTAAGTGAGCACCAAAAAGGTCGTTCTTGTTCCCGTCCCCCTGACCTGATATGAGGGCACTTCAATCAGGGTTTTCCACACTGATGTTATTTATTAGGGTCTGTTAGATTTTCTCCTAGTTCTGAATTGATTTGGCCTCTGATCGAATTCCCATTTGTGGAGGTTTGTGCTGTAGCTCATGAAGCTGTTCATTTTGATTAGTTTAAATGTCGTTGATCTGCGCTGCCCTGTTTACTGGGCTTTTGCTCAAAGTTTCTTTTCTTAACAACAAAAATTGGTGTAAACGCTTGCCTTTGGACAAACAATTAAGTATTATTGGTCATTATTTCACTTCAAGATGAATACATTCTAAACGAAAGTGTTAACCACAGGTGATAATAATCTAATACTAATCATCTTCATTTAACTCAGAATAAACGAGCTGGATGCTCCGCGCAAATCAACCTGAAAATATACTTGTTCACCCAAGTTCATCTGGTCGTTTGTCGCTTTTCTTTACTTTCTATTATATTCGGTGGTGACTTGCGTGAATTTCAGACGCGTGTTGGTCAGTTATTCACAAACTTCCCACACTGTCGTTTTCCTGCGGAAGGGAAATCACGAGATGAGTCAGATAGGCACGAAAATTTATTGACGCAGTCAACCAAAAGCCCCGATTGTATTACTATTCTGTTGTCATATTTCCGCATAGCACGCAACAACGCTATCAGTATCTGGCGCGGATTTTCAACCATTGAACAATAAAATAACGCGCGATTTTCCAGTCGAAATCTGGAACAGTAAAATGTGATAATCGATATCATAGGAAAACGCTTGACGAGATTTCGGATCTCCATCGGAATATTCATGTTCAGAATTTTATTTTCATTTTAACAAGAAGTTTCATTTCTTGCTCAAGATGGAGTCACAAAATTAAATTTGAATAATTCTATGTATGGCATACCACGATGAAATGTCAAACCTGTGGAAAATGAGTTGAGAAGGCCAATCGTCTGGCCTAGTAAAGATTCGCTTGAGTTCGGGGTAATCCTTTCAATCCCAGGAAGAATTGCAGGTTTTCAGAACCTGTTTCAGTTTTGATAGATAAATAAGGGGAAAGCGTTAGCAAGTTGTCAATGAACTTTACCTTTCTTTGTTCGAATCTCTAAATGATCTTATTAGTGTGTTATGAAATGAATGTATCCTCACTGCTGTTAAAGGAAATGTTGGAACCTCATCTTTTGTTGAGTGTCAATCGGAAATTCAGTGTTTTAGGAACTACGTTTAACCGCATGCTTGCGATTCATTGACATTCATAGGGTCCTCTGAATTGCCTTGTATCTATTAGAGATAAAACCTAAACTGGAGCAATAGACGAGTTTCACCTTCTCTTTCTTCAGGAATTTGATTGTGAGCAAAAGTGATCAATGTAGTAGTGAACCGTGATGGTGTGTAGGGGTTGCTGGTTCATGTACCACGCAACTATAACACCGAATAAGCATAACAGAAATGTAGCATACAACTCAGAAATATACTATCCTTGTACTGTGAGAAGCTTTCTTCCAAGATACACATCAAAGTAAGAAATAATTTTGGTTACTCTCAGTCTTCTGTACACACGAGGCAATACTCAGGGCAGACAATGGTTAATTGAATTTAGGTTAATTCTGACCTTAGCAAAATACACTCATTTGCATACCAAGCTAGCTTCGACGAGAGACTTACCTAGAACTCAGCTGAATCCTACCTTTATGACGTTTTTAAACAGCTGAGTATGCTGCGCCGAGCCGCTTCATTTGTCAGTTGGTACGATATTCGATATATTATAATGCATGCATAGACCTAATACACCACTCATAAGGTTACTGAAATTTCTTCAACAGCCCACGACCGGTTTCGCCCTTCTTTGGGCTCATCAGGTAGGCGCAGCACCTGAGTTTCCGTCAACCCTATAAGCTACTGGTAATCAAATCGTACATTCAGTTGCTTCGAAACATCATAAACGAAGAATTCAGTTGGGTACCAAGTGAGTCTCACGCAAAACAAAATTTGTTTGCAAATGAGCGTATTTCGCTAATTCAATTTGTGTTCAGGCGGAACGGAAACTCGGGGACTATGCCTACCTGATGAGCACTAAGAATGGCTAAACCCACAGTATGCTGTTGAATAGTTTTCAGCAACATTATGAGTAATGTATGGCGTTTACTCCTGAACTCATTTATCTCGGTGGAAAAGACGATAGAAGCTTATTTTTATTCACTCCAAGCAAGCCAATAACCAACGGGTACTTCCCAGGTTGTGGGTGAATACGGGAAATAGTCATCATCTTTTCTAAAATTCTGCGTTATCTTTTCGTCGAAAAAACTTACGTTTCGCGCTCCAGTAAAGCTAGATACAGCAAGTGGGCGATTTAGAATGCATGCGTTTTCAGTCTTCGATAGATTTGATTTACATGAAGAAAGAAAGATGTAGGGAAGTAGCGAGATGAAGACTCGAAATGTGGACTATAAATGCAGGAACTAGGGTAGAGTACCTCGTACGAAATCAAAACGAAACTTGTAAATTTTGTGGTATAGAATATTCGTCCTGGAAAAATGAGAATAACTTTATTCAGCTATCTCCCCTTCCAGTCTACCATTTGTTGGATATTGGATTATTGCTTCTGGCTTTGTTGTTGTACCTAGGCAGGCCATATCTCGAGGAAAGAAACACGTTCGTGGCTTTGAACCGGTTTTAGTTAAAAAGGCGATAATTCGACCCAGAGCGTGGATTCACGTCCATGGTCGAGCCATTGCGGGGTTTGTAAAATGCACACTCACATCACTGTCTTCTGAAAAGACCTCCTCCAGTCCTGGCGAAATGATTCTGATCAGTTCACATCAAAGTACAGAGTAACAGTTTCTCTTTTATTAGAAATCGTAAGCAGTGTTTATTCTTGGCCACGCCGTGGTTTCCGTCACGAAGAGACTGGACCTTACCGTGGTGTGACGGTTTGCGCACCTCAGCGACCCATTGAGCTACACTGGAGAGTGTCCCGCGATACTCACAGAGTCTCTCATACCAGGTTGGTCAATGGTTAGAGGTCTGACGAACACAGTCTCCTGGCCCTCCAGGTTGGGGGTTGGAACATGTGGCGACTTGTTCCGTAGAAATGGTAATGCATTTGCATTTCCCGCCAAACACCGCTGCCTTGCGGTTAGGC